GACCAAGAATCACCCCAAACTCGTATATTTGTACAACTCTGATTCACCCCCCTCTTGCAGGACATTCAGAGGAAGAAGTCATCACAGGCACACGTGTACACTTGCATTGTTCAGACGCACATATTAACTGCCTCTGCCTCCCTGCTGCTTTAGACAGTGGACACAGGATGTTTGATGCAGACTGCATCGATACACCTTTTGCATCACAACAAAATGCAATGCCTTTCACCACCATGGAAGACCAAGACACTCAAGTAGAAAGCACTGGGTACAGTTCCCAATCTGAAGGCCAACCTCAGATTGGGAGGCCACCCTCTTCTGCAGAGCCCTGAGAAAGAAAAAGACTTTGAAGTGCACTATGAAGGTAATAAATCTGGGGGTGGAGAAGGGGGGAAAGATCACAAACAGCTAGACTTCCCCTATGTGGAGAGGATGCTTGCTTTGTCATCTCTGCCCGTTCCCACAGCAGCACCATCATGGAGAGGAAAAGGGTATTCTCCCTGATAGTTAGATCTCATGCAATTCAGCTGTTCACATGGCCAAGCCAAAACCTTGAATTTCATTTCTTAAGTTGATAAGGCACACCAAAATCTCAGCAAGTGATGTCATGCAAAAATCCAAATGAGCAGCCTGAATCCACAGGTCTTCTTAAAGATAAACGGTGATCACATTTAAGATCATATTCGCTTTTTGAGATTAAGGCAGGGGGAAAAGGCAGCAATCAAGCAAAAATGAAGGTAGATGATGCTTTAAAATATTATTTCTAACAATATATATATATATTTTTTTTCAGAGGTACAATATGTTTCTTAGCATATTGCTTGTTGGTGTGCTTTCCACCAGGCTCATGATGGGAAGTATTGATGCTCAGTGTCTTAGGGAAGGGAAGGCATTCATACCCTTTACCTCCCATCTTAACTCACAGCATCAGAGAGCTCTCAGCCACTTCTGCTGGTCATGGACTCTTGCACACTGCAGGAGCTCAGAGTCCAGCTGAACACCAGTAACTCCTGGTTCCGTCCTCAGAAATCTCTTCTAGGAAAACAAGTTCTTCAAATTAAAGAGAAATATTTAGAGAAGCAGCAGGACCCAGAAGATAAAAAGCTACTATGGCTTACAGGAGAGTAGGGGGTCCTATTCACAGATGCATTCCAGGTAGCAGTGCAAAATAATTAGTTTTCCTGAGCAGTCAGTCACATTGGCAAGAACAAAGGCTAGCACAGAAAGTCAAGACTTCCTTGCTGAGTTTCAGTAACTTTAATTTACATGGTTTTATAATTGTTATTTAATTTATGTATGGATACCACAGTTTTAAACGCAGATAGAGAGTATTCAAAAGGGACAAACTTCTGTGTTTAAATTATTCTTACTTTCTTTTTGCTTATCTCAGTCAATTATTTCATTCAGTCATAAAACTGCAAAGGAAAAGCAAAAATAAAGAGTCAGTATGCGAATTTTTTTTAAGGTGGTACGAAAATATCCAAGCAGCAGCATAAAAGCATTTCTGAGGTTATGTTAAGTTCGTTCAAATCAAATCAACTTCAGCAGGTGACAGCAGGATGACATTGCTCTGCCACGTTAGGATATAAAGCTAATGTCAGTGTCTGTACACATTTCCCCTACACGGGGCTGAGGCTCCAACAACAAGGTTTTTCCTGTGTATTCAGTGCACAATAACTCACCCTTAGTCACAGTAAGAGGTAAGATCAGTATTTCAGCTCCAAAGAGAGACCCAACAGAGCTGTCAGCATGCAATAGACCCACTGAAGAATCAAGGAATAATGTTGAGACTAATAGCGGAGGTGATTTTTGCAACATTTTCAAAGCATAGAAAATACTTCAGGAGCAATCACATGTGGCTGAATGGAAGAGAAATAATCATAGGACAAGGTCAATGCAAAGAAAAAAGAGCTTCACTGTGAAATGGCATGTTGATCCAGCGAAATTGATTTTCTTGTATATGTGTAAGATGTATTAAATAGCTGTTCTAAGACTCTAACAAAAAAAGTGGTGTCCCTGTTTACTGAATTGTTGAAGAAATTTAACCATCTTGACATTTTACAGTTTAATAAAATGTTAATGGGGAGGGTGAGGGATTAAGCTGGCTACAGGCATGGTTTAATTTGTTGGTAATTTTAGCCCAGCAGGAAAAAAAAAAAAAAAAAAAAAAAAAGGAATATATTCTGACAAGAGGAACAAACAAACCTCTTAAAGAAAATTTTTTCTCGCATGGTATGCTCATGTGTTAAGAATAAAGTGTCATTACAGCAGGCATCACAAGCAAGACTTTGTGACTTTCATGGGTTTATGAAGCAGCTGGTGCCTCTCATTTCTATTTGTGCCATTATTATTTGTTGCTTAATTACTAGTCTTTTAATTACCCCAAGAGGTTTCAGTTCCCCCTCTGCCTCCTCCTGCAGAAATAGCATCTTAAAGAAACCCAGAGACCGGGCTGGTGGGAGGCCTCCAGTCCTGAGTAGCTTTGTGGTGGACCCCACCATAGCCCTCAGCCTCATGTTTCAAGTCAGAGGGAGGGTGGCATCCTCCCATCCCCATCCCTGTCACCATCCCTGTCCCCATGCCAGCCTACAGCCAAGCCAGGCAGGATCACCAATATGCATACTAGTCTATCTGCTCAAAACAACCAACAATCTCAAAAGTCCCATCTGGTGGACAGCTTCCAGAGGGCCAAAGAGTTTTACCACCCATCAGGGGCCTAGCAGCCACCCGTACCCCAACCCACCCCTGCCCCAGTGTGGATCCCATTACAGACCCCCCAGTGCCTCCTCTCCCTCTCTCCTCGCACAGAAAGGCAGCGAGACTGGGGGAGACTTGAGTGCACAACAGTTGTTTACATCTTTGCACAGGGGAAATCTGGGATTATTTATGGAAATTCAGATGTTGCTAAATAACAGATGCTGTTCTGAGAAGGAAAACTTTTTTATTATTATTTGGGGTTGTTTGAGGGTTTTGTGTTTTTGTTTTTGTTTTTTTTTTTTATGTAGTTTAGAAAAGAGCTGAGGGTTTGCTCCAGCATATAGAGGAACTGCATCCAAATAAAATGATTTTTTCTTGGGGCATGGGTTTCATAGGTTTCATACCCTTACTACACTTTGGGGGCAAACTAGTAAATAAAAAAAAATATCCAGGACTTTATGACTGCTTTGTTCCACACCCCACAGAGAAAACTTGTTCTCTTTTTTTGCTAGTGCTCTGCGAAGTGTGGCAGAGGAAAGGGTCTCACATACAATAAGTAAAGAACTACTCTGAAATTAAGAGCTTTTCTTTTAATACTTAAACAAGAAAGACACAGAATTTGGCAGAAGATGGAGAGCCCAACCAATTGCTCCAGCTCAGCCATACCAACTTGTCCTCTACATGCTCAGCACAGCTGTTCTCCAATTTTGCTTCATAAACACACCACAGCTCTTACTTCTTGTTGTTCATGGTGGATGTTTCAGACAAATGCCTTTTTGTTAGATACCATATTTTGCCTTGGTATGGTTAAAAAGGCTTCACATTTAACTGACTTTACTGTAAATGTGCTTGACATTACTAAGGTCTTCCCCTGCTTGAAGGTTCTTTGATGCATCTGCAATTTTCTCACTTGTAACTTCAACTTTTAACAAACAATGACGCTTTTTCTTATAAAGATAATATATTTGACCCGCTGAAAAGAGGTCGCTCCATTTTTTCAAGGATTTAACAGTCCAGCAGTGTGAGTTACTACTGTGACAAACAACATGTCCAGGGTAAGCATTAGCAATGCAATTAATCTGACCTGTGATACATTTTAAAGAACATTTTAGATGCCCAAATCACAAAGCTAACTTTTATCAGAGGTCTTCTTTCCCGTATTTTTCATAAGAAACTTCACAAGATGGCTACAAAATTATATCAATACATCAGTAAGAACACACTGAAAATAAATAATGAAGATTATAAAGAACAAAGAAATGTCTTAGTTGTTCTAGAAAGCCTCCCAGCGTCCATCTGCTAATATTAAAATGACAAGATGTTCCCCCTAATTTGGGATATAATGTCTTTACCAGAGGTGATAACATATCATGGACGGGTAATGGAGAGAGGGCCAGAGTGCATTTGGCTACAGCTTATGCACAGAGAACTGCTGTAAACATTGGATATAGTGTATTTAGAAAACAAAGAGAGCACACACAGTGCAGTGCTCAGACCCCTGTGAGCTCTCTCTTCTCAGCAGCCCCACAGCAGGAAGCTGGAGTGAGATGGAGGCCCTCACCCCCTCACCTGTCACACACTGCATCACCTCTGGAAAAAAAAAAAAAAAAGAAAAAAAAAAGAAGCACACCAAAAAGCAAGACTTACATTGACCTAGGATCTTTCAGAAGGAATTATATGAGAACACGTAAAACTTAAAGTTCATAAAACACTCCAAAACATCCCTTCATTATATTTATAATACAGCAATGCCTGGATCTGATCAGCCTGAAGCAAACAGCCAGTTTTGGTGATCCAGTAAATAGACTTTATCAACAGAAAATATTAGGTAAACTTTAAAAATAGCCCCAAAATTCTCCCTCCACAGTGCAAATGTTTGAGCAAATCTAAGGATGTTTAAAAGGTGTGGTATGGATCACCACATAGATCTGCTTTGAAAAAAAATGTAGATAATTCCCATCAATGCTTCCAAGTCATTCTTCATGCTGGGGCACCTTTTATGAACATCCCTTCTGTTTTTAAAACATCCTGGTTGCCAAAATCAACACCTTTTAACTCAGCATCCATTGATTTATTGGTAGTGAGTTGGGAGATTCAGAAATGGTCAACAAAAACACCAACCAAGAACGTGGGAGATTCCAGTCTGAAAATTCAAGTCTGCTTTGTAATAGGTTTCTCAAGTAACGAAACCACGTTTTGGACAGGTCTACTTTGTGAAGTGTATCACCAAGATGGCACAGACCCAGGCCAATTCATCTGTACAGCAGGATGTCCTATAATGCCCTCAGACTAAGCCTACTCACCTGAAGCTCCTTGCCTGTCTCCTGAGATGTTCACAGATGCAATCCCCGCCCAGAACTTTATTCTCTGCCATTGTCAATCTAGTAGTTTTCATGAGTATACTTTTAGGAGAAAAAGAGGTAGAGAAACAAACAAACAAAAAGAAAGCTCTGTAAGTGAAATTTTTGTAGAGAAAAATAATAATAATAATTTTAGTGAAAGTCCAAGGAGTAAAGCACAGGGAAACTTTTCAGTAAGCCATACAGGTTCTCCATAGCTCCCATTTGTAAAAAAAAAAAAAAAAAAAACACCTCTGTCTTTACCAGCCAAGCCCAACCACCCCAGGTAGGTGGAAACCACAGCACACAGCAGAGCAGCTGTGAGCTGCCATGGCAAGCCTGGGCTGCAGGTGAGCAGCTGAAGGCACAGGTGTCCCAGTGTTCTCTTTGCTCCCATCAGCCCAAGGTACATACCACACAATGGCAGGAACCAAACCATGTCAGACCCCAGCTTCCCGACAAAGATCCTCTGCCAAAAAAAAAAAAAAAAAAAAAAAAAGAGAGAGAAAGAAGAAAAGCCAACACAATTTATTCTCTTTTCAGACCAAATAAAGCCCAAACCAATAGGACTTCTATGCAGATCTCCCAACATGACACATTAGCAGTCTCCATCTAAGCCAGTTGTACTTCCCCTCACCCCCCCTTTTTTTTTTTCATAATTCATGATGATCATCACACACCCCACTTAATCATGTACCACAATCCTCATGTCATCACCACTCATTCTGGCATTGAAGGACATAACCCATGACAAGAGGTTGAATTACTCAGACTCAGTTGCAGCAACTATAGAGGAAACACAATAGGGGAAAATACTGCCCAAAATCACAATGTGCACAAGCTGGAGAACTGTGTTTAACAAAATATTAACCACAAACTACTCTTATTTTGGAAAAAAAAAAAAAAAAAAAAAAAAAAAGGGGTTTAGAAAGGCAGAGTGGAAATAATGTCATGTGATGAATTCAAGAGATTTCTCAGCAATAGGCTTCTCCATTCTGGAGAGTAGGTGCCATGTAAAGGCAGCTTCATCTGATAATGGTGGCTTTACAAGATAGAGAGTAGGGGAAAGAGTATGTGGTGACATCTGTCAAAATAATAATTAACATGCAAAAACAATACCACAAAATCCCCCATTCAACCTAAAAAGTTCAAAGCATTAACACCTCTAAATTTAATCTCCGTTGCTTCTCTATGAAGAAAGTCAGCAGTCAGAAAGTATTAGGTAAATAAGGGCACTTACCAAACTAATCAAATTGCATCAGGATTGTCTAAGGGCTGTACACAGAATCATAGCACCAAAGAATGATTTTGGTTGGAAGGAACCTTAAAGCCCACCTAGTTCCAACCCCCTGCCATGGGCAGGGACACCTCCCACCAGACCAGGTTGCCCAAAGCCTCATCCAGCCTGGCCTTGAACACCTCCAGGGATGGGGCACCCACAGCTTCTCTGCGCAACCTGTTCCAGGGCCTCACCACCCTCATAGTAAAGAATTTCTTCCAGAAATTCCTGTTACCCAGAATGTTTCATGTTTAAGTGGGAAAAGAATAGCTCATTGGAAGTACATGTCCACTGTCTCTAAAACTATGCGTCTGAGGTTCAGCCTGGTGCACTAGCTCGAGGTGAAACATTCAGTATGGCAGGGGTTCTTGAAAAACGTTAGTTGTAGACAAAATAAATAGTACCAGCACTTGCAAGAATTTTGGTTACTGCTCATAAATAGTGTCCTAGTTTCAGCAAATGTTTGCTGATTGTAGTAAACATCTTCATTACTGAAAATGATAATAATAAAGTACAATAGGTATATAAAAAAATATCTGTTAGTAGCTACAAATGAAGACATCAAATCCTGCCAGTTCCTGCATATGCACTGCATTGTAAATTCACCAGTAATCCCAAATTAAACACATGCAGATGTGTTGACAGGATTGGGACCATCAGCGACTTATCCCGTAAATACTGACAATCTAAGTAATGTGCTAGCTTCAGCTAGACTACTCCGCATTGTGAGACAGACCTCAGGCACAAGACATCCATAACATCATCAGACCATAGGTTAGGGCTGGATACTGCCACCCTTACAACTAAAATGTAAGGTAAATCCTTGGCACTTAACTCAGCAAGCATGTAAGTGCATGCACAACTTCAAGATTTCAAATAGTCTTGATTCCATTAAAGCAAGCCACAGACATTTTTTTTTTCACTTGACAAGGTTTTTAGTGAACAAGTGCTGCATATAGACTATATGCAGGGTAAAGTATTTTACAACTTTCGAGTGCTAAGACCTAGCTTCAAAGTGTTTTCCACATAAATACACAGCATTATTCTAAATCATTATTTTAATACAGATTATATTAATAAAAAACAAGCTAAAAGGTATTGGGTAAAATAGCATGGTAATACCTTAAATACAGAACAATGAATAGGACTTGCCTCTGCAAGCTTATCGTGTAGACAAGAGCAGAGGCATTTAAAATACAAGGATACCTTACAGTGGGAGGGGAAAAGACTTAAGGTAATTGGATCCAGAATGTGATATATTTAGATTAAGACATCTAATGAAAAGCTAATTGGATTAGTGGGAAAAATAATGGGATTTGAGATGACATATAATTGGCTTTTGCTATAAAGCTGTCATATACACAAGGAAAATACCTAGAAATGGGAATCCCCTAATAGTGCTAAGGTTAAAAAAATAAAAAATAATAAATAATAAAAAAATAAAAATTGAAGAGGAGACTTTTAAAGATGTTTTTATTTCTAAATATAACATGAGGCAAGAGCAGACCAGTTTCATATTCTAGAAGGTTTTCATTTATTGTTTCCCTTCCCTTAAGTCCACTTAAATATTCAAGTATTTGTAGGAAGAGTGATGGTTGGGTTTTTATTCAGTACAGTGCCATGGGGCTGGTTACATGTGCATCTGCTTAAGCCAAGCTGACATTCTGTATTGTTACAGACGAAAAACTAAACAGGCACCCCTTAAATCTTTGTCCCTTACTGTGAGACAAATGTCCCAGAAGAGCCAACAAAGCACAATCTGGACTTAAAATAGCAAATCAGCAATCAAAACTTTCCAACACATTCATCTTCAATGTGACCACTGAATGCACGCTTTGCCTCTCTTTCCAAGGAAGAACGTCAAGGGTTTGATGACAACAAAAGGCTTCATCAGAACCTGAGAGGAAGAATGGGGTGCACATTTGTTGAGGAGGAGAACAAGTTCAGTCACAGAGGCAAGCTCTTCTTTTTCTTCCTAAGTGCTTGCATGAGACCATTTCAAAGGAAATGTCATCTACATAATTAGGACCACGAAGTGTTTGTGCTGTTGCACAACAAAAGGTGGTTTTGCTTGTTGATACAGGTATAACACTGCTTAAAGGAATCTTTGTCTGCAAAAGGTCGATCGTTTTGGAAATACCATTTCACTTCTCAGCCATGTTTTACAATGCAGTCTCCAAACAGGGTGAGATTTTCAAGAATATTTATGACTCAGCTGTTCCAACTGCAACACTTGAAAATACATAAAAACCCTGGTTCCTTACATATTGATAGTATAGTTCCTATCAGGGAGAGAGGAATTTCAAAAATATTCACATTGGTGACAGGAAATAAGAAGAGGTGGATTATCAAGTATCACAATAGAAGAGTTCAAATTAACAATCCTGGTCCACCTACTTGACTGATACTGAATTTTCCTCTTTTTAACCAGTGCCAATTTGTATAAAACAATAACGAGGCACCCCACTGAAGAACAAAATGAACAGGAAAACAGGAAAACTTCCAGCCGTAGGATAAGAAAGTATTTCCTTGACATTCAGGAAGAGCTCATCATCCAGGTTTAAAACAAGACAAACAAAACACAACAAATGGAGTGGGGGGGCAAAAATATTTTTTTTAAATTACAGTGAGACAGTTGGATTTTCACTTGCCAATTATCCAGACCGTTCTAGTTGATGCCACTTAGAATCAAACAGGTGTGCTTCCTCAGCCCTGCTGCCTGATGTGTTATACCAAGGGAAACTACAAGAAAATATCAGTGTGATATCTTCACAGTATCCCATAGTGTCCTCCTTGCAACCAGCTGCTAGTGGACAGCAAGGATCACAGGGAACAGCAACATCATTCAAGTCAAAGCTGAAACATGCCTAAAGCCAAGGAATCCATGACAGAGGTCAGCTTCCAGTGGCATCCAGCCTCTCATTGAGCAGCCTTGCTCAGGTTTATATATCCAGAATAGCTGGAGACCAACAGATTTGCTTTTCTTGCAAGGCATAGTGGTTAAGGTATCTCCGAAGTGTAAGGAAATGCAGAAAAAAACATGGCCATTTGGCAGCCTCCTTCAGGCCAGATCCACCAGCTCCACAAGGGGCCTCTCCACAGGCTGCAGGGGAACTTCTGCTCCATGCTTGGATCACCTCCTGCCCTCCTGCTGCACTCACCTTGGGGTCTTCAGGGCTGCTTCTCACTCCTCTCTCCCAGCTGCTGTTTTGCAGCAGGCTTTTTTTCCCCCTTCCTTCAATCTGCTCTCCCAGAGGCCCAACCAGCATTGCTCTCTGGCTCAGCTCTGGCCAGCAGCGGGTCCCCTTAGGAGCCGGCTGGAGCTGGCTCTGATCTGACCTGGGGCAGCTGCTGGGCTCTCTGCACAGAGGACACTCCTGCAGCCCTCCCTGCTACCAAAACCTCGCCATGCAAACCCAATACAGAGAACAATGTGGTGGAGATGAGCTGCCTATCAGTATGAAACCACCAAAGGCTATGGGAGAGCTAAGCACATGACAGCACCAGGCAGAGCGCTGGTATGTCATGAGGAGCCTTGACCTAATGGCCAGGAGCACATTTTTGCATGTTTTACGTCATTCAGTGATTCTCACAGGCAAGAAGACCAGGGCATGAGTCAAGGATGTAGTAGCAGATTTCAAAAGAATGAGGTGAAAACATTTTTTTTTTTTTTTGTCTGTAGAAATGGTGCTTCAGTAACAAGTAAACAGTTAAACAATGAATTTTATAGACAGACGAGCACCCTTCATTCAGACCCATGATACTCTGTCTCCCAGTACCTGGCATGTCTCAAGCCTAAGTCAGCTGCAGGCCTCTATTCACATCACATCTCAAAACTGAGCTATGCCTTCTCTGAAAAACTAATAATCCCCACTATGGGAAGTCACCCACCCTGTGACCAATCCTGATTTTCCTAAGGCTCCAAAACTA